AGCTCAAAATGACTACTTCAGCTACCTTTCCCTCCCGCCCTTCCAAAACACTTTATTGAATATCCATTCAATTAAAAAAATTGTTGTGTTAGAACTCACCTCACAAAAACCAAAACTGTACATGTCCAGTCTCTGGGGAGATCTGTCAGAAGCAGCAACACCTTCTTCAGCATCCCCATCTCATTATATAGGGCAATTAACCTTCCCAGTGTTTGCCAGATAAAGACGCATTCGGGCTGGAATTTAATTCTTCAACTGGTAAAGCTCTTCTCTTCTGCCACTGCTGAAGACAATCAGCATCTTGTCCATTATTTTTTCCATTTACCTGGACAACTGCAACAGCAGCTTTTGCTTTGCAAGAAAATTGTAGCAGTAAGGGAAGGAAATTCAGGCCTTGTGGTCAGATCACAGAACTGACAGCCTTGTTTTTCTGAGTTTTGCCTCTAATTTTCTGAGTGGTTATGGACAAATCTCTAAAATTATATTTTCTGTCTGTATAGTTGACATATATTCTGCGATGTCTACTAGCACAGTAGACACCTTCTTTTGAGATGGCAGTAATTTCTCACAGTCAAGAAAAAGCCTGGCTAACCTTTTATTAAGCCTTTTAGACTGCTGTCAGCCAAAACCCAAATGCATGTGACAACTTTCAGCCAACCTGAAGTTCCTCCTGTGTCTGTGATGGTTTACCACGTTACTCGACACTTCCAGTCATGTCACCTGCCTGTGTCCTTATGATACATTTATATCCCTGTATGCATGTACCTTTGTGTACATGAATTAAGACAAGCTGGTAAGCAGCTACTCCCTCCCTTGTACACTGGCTGTACCAGTGATGGCAGCACCTGTGTGAGTGCATGTGTCTCTGCTCCTGGCAGGATCCTGGAGACAAGGCTTCCTTGATGCGCCCATCCTGCTTCCCCATCCCCTCTGCAGATGCCAATGCTTGTGTCGGCTGCAATGTTCAAACTTGGTTCCTACCACCTATCCATTCAGCAGAGGTCACAGGTTGGACAGGCAACACAGCTGAATTTGAATGTCAAAGCTGGTGCAATGAAGAGGTTGCTGATAAACCACAGAAACACACTGGTGTTCTCCAGTAACTGGAACTAATAAGGCTGGGCCACTGAGATCTGCATCCAGTCTGAATCTCTCGGGCTGCTGGTTGCAAGCAAAAAACATGTTGTTTTGTTTTTACATGTCAGAGACCTAAATCTATGGACAAACTGCAGACATGTAGTCACAGGCAGGAGGAAATGCAGCCTATGAAATAATGACTGAAATAGCCATTGAATCATGGTCGTTGTCAACTGCCCACATGCTGTCCACACTGTTAATAAAGATGCAGTGGGAATGGATAAGAGGTTTAAATAAAGTCTTAGAGCAAAAGTCTCCAGGAAATTAATTCAGTTTACCAAAAGAAAGGGGAAGGATGTAGTAGGGAACTGGTCAGAGAAGGATCTTCAGTCACACAAAGCTAGTGCAAGCAGCTGTCTGTTGCAAGAAGCAAAAACTGAATGCACACAGCACTAGAAACGCAGCACATATCCTTCACAGCAAGAGGGATTCACCAGTGAGACAAGTGACTCAAGCACCAGGGTGAACCATGTATTTCAGGAAATCATAAGTGGATGTTTTCACAGAAGATAGTTTCCTAGATCAAGCACCCTTGTATTGAACTTGAAGAGAGAAATGCTTCAGGGAAATCCAAAGACCTGTGTTATGCTCAGTCTAAGCAATCATAGCCACGTCTTCTGGCCATAAAAACCCATGACTCAGTTAACCTCTAAACTTACCAGCCATGTCTGATTGTGCAATATTTATTCCTGTTTATAGCACAAATAAAGCAAACTAAGCACTTTGTGCTACTATCTCAGTGTGTGCAATTACTTCCTAGTACCACATAGCTACTACTGTGGCATGAAAGGCCAGTTGCTGATTAAAACTTGCTAGTTAGAAACAGGTCTTCTGGAGTCTATTCCATGTTCTGCCCTGTATGGAACGGAGCAAATAATTCTGAGTGGCCAAGCCTGAACATGTTGTCTACTCTCTAGAAGGCTAAAGTTAGCGTGCTGTAGGTAAACCCTTTTCTCACAATCTTTCTACAAGGGAGGCACCTCAAATCAGAGCTGATCTGCTGGATTTCATTGCTCTTATTCCATTTCCCCACCTGTAAAATGGGGATTGACTGCAAAAAAGAAAATGGATAACTTCCTTCATCTGGGATGAGTATGAAGTATCTGCACTTTGTTTTCAGGGGCAGTGAGAATCATGATACTATATTGCAAGGGATGTTTGGGGGTTGGGGAAGGGAATGTTCCAAAAAGAATTTACGGGGGTAAACTCACCCTGCAAAAAGAGGAAAGAATGGGAGGTCAGTGATGAGAACTGAGATGGCTGCAGAGGTCTAAATCCTCACTGTCACCAATGAACCCACAGAGTCAGAGACTTCAGCAGGGAAATGCCTGCCCTGTCCCCTCACTGATGGTCTCTCTCAGTTTCAAGGCCCCTGTTTCTCCTTAAGGAGAGATTTTTTTGAATCTTCTTGGGGAGAAAACATTAGGGTCTCTCCTCTATTTATAACAGTCCTTTAGGACAACCCTTCCCAGCTCCTTTCTCGTTAGCACTAATGGTGTTTTACGGCTAGAGTGTCCTCTCCTGTGAACAAATGCCAGGAGGAAGGGCTGAGATGCCAGAGACTCCCAAGTTACTGCCAGGACTTTCTGAAGGGGATGTCTCCCAGTTCAATCTTCCAGCCGATTGAGAATCACTTCAATTGGAAAAGACAGTAAGGAAGGTTGAGCTGGAAGAGGCAGGCTAAATTCCCTTGGACTGGCCAGCTGCAACAGCCACCCAACCAAGACACATGCCATTGGCCATTAAACAAGGGACAAGGCACATCAAACAGTAGTATCTATCACAAAGCCGAGTGTTTGACCCACTTCCGAGAGAGCTGATCCTTTCATTTTCACCTAGGAGTAATCCTGCGAGTGGACACTATACCTCAGCAGCATGACTTAGGAGGTAGTCATGGCTAAAGATGTAGGGGAGGGCCCAATGCACAGGAAGGTGACTTTCTGGTGGATGGCGACCAGCTGAAAAGGGAGCAGGGAGTGGGACAGCAACATGTGTACCCAGACACCCTGGAAGAGTAAGCACTTTACTATTTGCATGTATTTGCTTCCTTTCTGATGCCAGTATTACTTTTAACCTCCTTAACCTCTTTCCCACAGCTTCTCCTGCGGTTGAATCAGGCTGCTGATATCGGCCTTCAAAGCTGCACAGTCAATTCCCCAAAGCTGCCGTCAACCCTACTTGTGTCCCAGGTACACAGGCTAGAGCAGAGGGAACAGATGCAAGAAAACAGCCATCAGCCTCTCTTCCCATATTTCGTTTTCTAGACAGATACTTGACTATGCAGATCATTATCATTTGAAAGCTGAGGCAAGAGGACATTTGCTGTAACCCTGGGAAAGAACAAGAGTTAGGGCTGGCATGTTGGATATATTGCACTGGCTTGTTGCATTTTTTGCCTTTTGCATTTAAATTGCGCCTTTTTTCTTTTTCTTTTTTGTGGTTTTTTGTTTTTTTTGTGGCTCGCACGTTATGGTCTCCGATCTCCTGGTCCTATTCCAGTGTTGCTACACAATTGCATGCCTCAGCTCCTACAGCCATCACTTCTCATGGGTTGCAATATAAGGAAAATGCACAAGTCTTAAATGTACTTCCTCAATAACAGGAAGCGGTCTTACCTTCCACATTTTTTCTGGAACTCTTTAGCTGGGGGGAGAAAAAGGGAATCAGTCTGCTGTAAAGGGTGTAAATTCAGTTGTGCTTCCACACCAGTGTTTCGTATGAAACAGAAAGGACGTATATTTTAGTAGTACCCTTTTCCAAATCACATATGAATGATAGAAATAACTATGTTTCTCAAAGTGCAGGAGCTTCATTTCTCTACACAGCACATTGTGCTTATTCCTACAAGGTTTTTGAGACATACAGCATTAGATACCAAGTTAAGAAATAAAAGCTAGATGTTCTTGTTCAGTTTTGTTTTATTAGCACATGAAGCTTTATCTACTGAGAAAACATGCTGCAGGCTGGTAAAGGAACAAATTTTGGGAAAAGTAAACCAAAATTGTTATTAACAAAACTACTCCTCTTAAATTTCCCAAACCTCATTTTTGCTTTCATTATCTCAATGACTCTCTCAACTTTAACCAAAGACCAAGTACTTGAACCTAATCACCTCTAAACAAACACAGACAAAACCCAGTTGTTTCTCACTAAGGTGGAACATGCCATTTGTGCTTAATTGGCCAAATCTGAAGATTCCCCTTAGAAGCTGTCAATTAACCCTTCTCCACAATTTTTATCATTATACAAAGTAGCCTCTTCATCCCCCACAAACCAGAAGAAACTATACACAAAACCCAGCAGCCTCAGCAATGAAACACAAATCGAGCATAGGCACTGCTAGGTCTGTACTCGTTGCCACTGTGCTAAGCAAAACATTTGTCCATACACATGAATGACATCAAATTCTTCTAGCAGAGGCTAAACCAAAACTTGCTAGTTTTATGTAGAAAATATATAGGTTTATGTAGGTGCAAAATTTTCATCTCCTATGAATCGGGCTATCTCATTTCACAAGAACTCGGTAAGAAAGTAATAAAAATCCATCAGCTATGTTAAGAAAATGTCCTGCTTCTACCTTCACCCCGATTAGGACACTCATAGTTGTAGTGAAAATATTTAACATTTGTTTTAATCAGATTAAAAAAAAATGCATAAACTTTAAAGATTATATTTTTATATGTCATCAGTGTCACCTATTAAAATTAGGAAGTATTTTAAAGATGTGACTTGCTTATTGCTCATGATAATATTTTCATTGAATAAGATAAGCGAATCTGTGATTATATTGCTTTGACCAGGAGAGGGAAAGCTAACAGGAACATGGATATTGATTCTAAGATTAATTAAAAAATCTTGAAAAAATAAACTTGTAACAAAATTGTCTTAGAGGGTTGTCAATTAGACCTTGTCTGCATGATCAGTCATAGTCAAATTTGTTTTGAAAGTCCAAATAGACTGTGGGTCAGCTCTGATGGAGAAGGTGGGTTTCTTATTTTATCCATTTCTGAAAGTTTGTTGAAAAGAAGCATATGTAACAGGAAAGCATCATCAGCTTTACATGCCTCCAAACTCTCCTGGGTATCTGCTCAAACAGCAACACTGTTGGGAATGCGATCTGGGGAAAGGTAGTAGTAAGGAAGCTTTTTGTTCTTGTTGCGCTCGGTGATAGCGTTGACGATCTCATCCAGATTCTTGCGGAATTTTGCCATAGCCTCTTTCACTGGCTTCTCAACGAAGTGTTCATCTGGGTACATGCCCAGAAACAGCTAATTGAAAAACACCAAGAAATCATGCTTTGAGGAAGCAAAGGCTATTCTGTTTCAACATTATGTCATCCAGCAGAACAGCACCCAGAGCCTCACAAATGCTACTATTAAAATAGTACTAGCAATATTTAAGCTGGCCTACACTGGCACTGCCAACAAAATATGCTGTCCCATTCTCTCTCCTCCACTAGCTGCTTCTTTTCATCCCTGCATCTTTCTGCAGTGCTGGTTCAGGTGTCTATGCGGCATCTCCTCCACCTGCAGGGGGCTGATCCACTGAAAACGAAGCACTTTTTTTCAGGCTAGTGGTCAGCCAGATCAGCTTCCCAAGCCAGATCTCTGCATAGCCACTCAAACATTTGTGCCGCTAAAGAAAAGGACAGCATGGGAGGGGAATGAACAGCCAGGGATGAAAAAGGAAGACAACTGCTTCTTTCAGTGATAGTGGAAGTTTCTCTTTACTTAGAACTGTCCTTCAAAGTTCAGCCTGACAGTTGCTTTAGTCAGCTTGGACTCTAAGGGTGCCCTGAATACTGCATTACCAATACACATACTGGCATATTACCTGCTTCAGGGAACTATTTCCCATGATACTACCCATACTACTAGCTTCTCAGCTGAAATTTGCTTTCTTCTTAAAGAGAAACTTCAGAATTACCCTCTGTCCATCATCTTCCATTTAAGGATTTCAAAACACATCCTCCAGACACAGCCCTTGGGTGAGACAAGCAAGTACCTACAACCTCATTTTACATGAGGGAAATGGCTACAGACCATGCTTGCAAAGCGTCCTGTAGGCTTGTTTTGTTTGCACTCCACACCAGCCAGGCACAAGCCACAACTGTAGTGCACATGACAGTGGGGCAGATTTTCCACAGGGACAGGACATGGGGATAAAGTGGTGCTGTAGCTTCTCCACCAGCACTGCTGGGGCAAGGAGTGGAGATAACCCTTGTGCCTCTGCAGCCCTCTTCCTCCCATACCAGCATCCTTACCCAGCAATGCCATACTTGAGTTTAGAAACTTTCATTTTGGCTGAAACACAGCCTCAGAGTAAAAATATGGCTTCTCGCTCAGAGCTGGTTTGCATCTGGCAGAACAAGGGCAAACCCACACCAGATACATCTCCACAGAAAGGCAAACATGGTCCAGTCAAGCATAGAGCAGCACTACAATCTTGTGAGTCTGTGTGGTCTGGCCATGGCCCCTGTGGTCTCACCTACATCTCCACCACCTAGAGAAGGGAGGTCCACTTACTTCATTGTCCTGGAATTGGCTCAAGGCCCAGACAGCTCCAAGATGCCAACAAGAACGTCCCCTGTCTGGCAAACTCTCCACAATTTGCTCGATGGTGACTGTCCCCTTTTCTGCTGGAGGAGGGCGGCGCATTGTTGGTGGGGCATTGGGAATCCAGGAACACCAGTCATACTGCACAACAAAGCAAGACAGCACAGTGAAAAGCTATGGTGGCTGGTATTTAGGAACACTGCAGAGAAAATCAGGAGTCTTGACACCAGGGAGTTTGCTTCTGTAATATGAGCCTCTCAGAAAGAGAAGATACTAACTAAAGGACAGAGAGATGCTCTAGAGAAGGACTGAAGGAGACAAGGAAGTCCCTACCATCTTTCTCTGGATCTCAGAAGTGCAAGAGTTGTGTTACCTTAATGGGAGCATTTATTCTGCTAGCCATAGGCATGTGCCACACAGCCCAGATTCCCCAGCCAGGCTAAGGGCTTAGCTAGTTTATTGAAAAAAGATCTCTTCTGATAATCTGAGGCAACCTCTGATAAAAAAACCTACAACTGATAAAACCTCCTTTTCTCCAGTTGCTCTTTTCTGCAACATTTGCTCTAAGAACATGCCCACAGTACTGTGGTCAGGCAGTAAGAGATGCAAAGGATGCTGGTGCATCATGGAATATGGCATGTGGATGTGGCCATGGTGAGTGCCAGACTGAGAACTCAGAATCACTTCTGGCCTGCTTCAGTGTTGTGGGATGGTGATGTCTTATTTTGCCTCAGATACGACCCCGAGTTTTGCCACCATCTGAGATGTTGCACTTACCATAACTCTTTCTTTTCCAAGCACTTTTTCATTACCTTCATACATATCCCCTGCCCTGCCTGGGGGAAAGTCCCATTTCAGCCATGTGCCATGCTTACACTGTGCTCCATCTGTTCTCTCCAGCGCACAGCCATCTCCTCCTACCCTCAGCCCTATCTCTCTGCCATTTTTCCCCATAGCTGAAGACCCTTTTGGTGATGGGCTGAATATCCTCTGCATGCCAAGTTCCCTCTCTCATTCTCTGAAGGTTCTCTGCTAAAGCCCAATAGCCTGGGAAATAGTAAGAGATGGTTTCTTAGTGGTACTGGAACAGACAGGATTTCCTGAGGGGGAGGCTGGGAGATGTCTCAATCACTTGTAATGACAGGTTAGAAGTAAACAGTCGCAGAGGTCCCTGGTCATTGATGTGGTACAGGAATAGTGTGGGTTCATTTGACACCTGGCTCTAGACCTGCTCCTGAGCTGCAGGGGTGGACAGGAGGGTCAACACCGAGAGTGATGTGGGATGTATTTGGGAATAATTACCATAGGAAAGATGGTCTCCCTGCTTATTTGTGAGATCATTCAGGCCTGAAGCCAGAACATGTGCCAAAAAAAAGCTCAGAGAATCACAGAATATCTCAAGTTGGAAGAGACCCATAAGGATCATCGAGTCCAACTCCCTGCTCCTTGCTGGATTACCTAAAACTAAACCATATGACTAAGAGCATCGTCCAGATGCTCCTTGAACTCTGACAGGCTTCGCACCATGACCACTTCCCTGGGGAGCCAGTTCCAGTGACTGACCACCCACTCAGTGAAGAAGCTCTGTGCAATACAGCCTGACAAAGAGATTTGCTTCTGGCTGTGAAGTCTGCTTTCCAAAATGCCTTGGTGTTGGAAGAAACAGCACTTGAAAGGCAGGCTGCTACTATAATTTCAGGGTAGATACATGTCAGTAAGGGCAGGCAAGGATAACACAGGCTATCAGTATGTGACATATTAAACATCACAGAGGAAGCTCAAAGTTACCAGTTGGCTCACAAACTCAAGAAATAAGCAGCAATGCCCTTTCCATGCACTGGGAATATTAAGCACATTGGTGCTTTGGAAAACTTGACCATACATGACCAAAGCCTAGATCCTCACAGACGTACTGCTTCAAATTTCTAGTATGTCAGTGGGAGTTAAGTACCTAGATATCACTGAGGATCTGGACTCCTGTCCCACTGACTTCAATGAAACTTTACGTTGTAGAGACTTGTCCATGCTGCTGCAGAAAGTAGAAGTGGAGGTCCTGCAGACGTGCTAGGCAGCTTTCAAGTAGTTAACTCAGGACCCTTGGTAAGTGCTTCATTATGCCAGCTAGATTGCTGTACTGCTGGGACTGAGCTGTTGGAAATAGCCAGCTGCACCAACACAAAGACAGATGGCATACGCAGCTACACGAACTGCAGTCACAGCACTGAGCTGCGCTGCACATGGTCCCTAAGCCACATCGGAAAATGGGATGTATGCTGCTCTGGTACAGGCATGCTGCCAAGTTAGTGCAGCTTACAAAAGCAACCCACAGTCACTACCCATGAATGCACTCACAGCAAATGCAAAGCAAAGCCACTTAGCATAACTCATTGCATTTCATTGCAGAATGTGCCACAGACTACCAGCATGTATCCAGGCTGTTTGGGTGGTGTCTGGAAGGCATGGTAGCTAGACTGTGCACCTGAACCCTTCAGCATTTCTGAAAGGGTTCTTAGCAACCCATTTAAACGCTTAAAAAAATTGTTCCCCATAATAAAATCATCAAAACTAAATATACAAGCTAGAACACCTAAATCTGAGCTTTGGTACCTATTTAGGACTCAAAATACCTGTCTCAGCTTCCAGAACCAGAAGAATTCAGTTTTCACAGGCTTCATGGGGATTTGCAGATGGCTCTGCAGTTATTTTGACCAGAAAGAGTAATGTAATGTCTGTACAGCTACTAAAAAACATTTCTCAGACCTTGCCCTGGTAGATGCATCTCCCAGCCCAGAAAGAACAGTCTTCCCAGAAATTCCTACCTGACCAAAATTCACAGCTGCGTGCTGGGCCGATGTGGTGAACATTATCACCGTGAGATATTCTGCTAGCTTCTCTCGTGTCCTGATCGTCTTAGGAAACCCTAAATGAGGGAGAAGAAAAGCTTAAGTAACCCAGCTATGAAGTAACCCAGTTACCCAGTAGTAATCAGCTACTCAAAAGGCATGAGTTAGAGGAGCATGCAGCAGTCACTGAAGAGCAGGGCATTCTCTTTCTGAATCTTGCTGTGTGGTCTAACAGGAGTTACTCAACCTCTCTGTGTCTTGGCTGTCCAGCCATAAAAACAGAGTCATCCTGCCTTAACTCATACAGGGTTGTAAGGCATCACCACTGTTTGCGAAGTATGTGGTGTCCTTAAGGGAAAGGCAAGGTATGATTACACCTTTAAAAAATACTGTATCCCTGTCCTCTCACCCTACCTACCCTGCAGCAAGGAACCCAGAGAGTCCACAGGGCAGGGGCCTCAGATGCTCCCTTTTTCTTCAGTCTGCAGTGCAAGCGGGGAAGGTTCATGCCAAGGAGCAAGTGACCAAGTGCTTGTATTTACAAAGGTCCGAGGCTCAGCGATCAAGTGTACTGTGAGAAAGAGTGCAGGGAGAGCTTATTTGCTGAAACAGGAAGTAAGGAAATGAGAACTTCTGAAAGAGAAACAACAGAATGAGGAACAGAAATAGTTGCATCGAGCTGTCTTTGAAGGGGAATAATCAAATGGAGCTACATATAGAAAGAAGGGAATAGTTGGGGACTAGGGAAATATTTTGCTACCCATGCATCCCCCAGCCTGTATCTCTCCTATCCCCACTACATCACAGTCCTGTGCTGTATTCCCTTTCTCAGCCCAATGTGACTACAGGTCCCAGGATACCTAGAGACCTGTCAGCACCCTGGGGTGAGCTGCCCATGCTCAGGTTGCCTGTGCCAGCTGCTTCACGTCTCCACCACCAACCTGATGCAGATGTGAACTCAACCTGAGAGGGGGAAGAGGTATATGGTAGGTCTGGCCAGCTACCAAGCCCAAAGAGGAGAAGATGCACCATCCCCTGCTATCCTAAGCACACTGTGCTCATCTTTAAAGGGGCTTGGCATGATCCCAGTCAGAGCAGCCCTCCCAGGGCAGGAACAGAGACTGCAGGGGGAGCCCTGGGTGCAACAGCCTCCCCCATTTATCCTCCTTCCATTCTTTACAGATGCAGCCAAGTCCCCCCCGCTCTCTGCCCCAGCCCTTGGAGTGTCAACAGTGCAGACAGGCATGCTGCAGGCCTGGCAGGTTTCCCACTGTAGTGGCAGTCCTGCCACCAGTGGTGCCTGTAGCGACCCACCCCAGCTGCCCCAGCTGTAGCCCTGGAAAGGTTCAGTACTTGTCCCATATCAAGATGCTTAGGTCAAGCATGAAGTTTGTACCAGCAGGACATTTCTAGACTTTTCCCAAGAGACAAACTAGACAAACAAAAATTATAGCAACTAGGTGTCCCCCAATCCTTTGCTTGTCCAGGCAGGTAGAGCCCAGGAGGCTGTTATACACCAGTGCATCCTGGTAATGAGTAGAAACATCACCGTTTTGCCTGGAGGTCTCACACACAAACATGTGTGCATGCAATGCCAAAGCCATCTGCCCCAGCTCACTGGTCAATAGATGTTTCCAGATGTAAATCAGTCAGGACAATATGAAGAATCCCCACCCACCTGTATAAATTCCTGAAAACCTGCTTGGACAAAATGTGAGCGGAAGAAAAAAACTTGTTTAGGGAAAGGCAGGAGACTGTTAACTCAGGTGGGAGAATAGAGCCGTGTTATGAGCGTGAGCTCCCACAGACAAGTAATGGTTTGAAAGAAATGAGAGGCAGTGAGAGGAGACAGAGCAAATGAAAATATTTCTTGGAAAGAATTATGAGTATCTTCTCTTGAAGAGAGCAGAACAGTTCCATGATGACACAGATGCTGAACAAAAGCAAAGTGCAGCAAGATACTCCTGGGGAGGTTCGTTCTTGTTCTTATTTAGTGCAAGGTTTGGAGGAGAGGATTCAAGGGGGTCTCTCTGCTTCTTGTGATTTCTATCAGTCTGCTTTGTGGTTCCAACAGCACATACAGACAGCCCCTCCCCTAATGCTTAAAGCATGAGAAGACAAGATCAAAGGACCAATCCCCAGTGTATGGAGAGATTACACGAGTTGCCCAAGCTCATGGTGAGAATCTGTGGCAAAGGAAGGAGCTGTCTCCTGAGGGACGGAGGGCCTGATCCAAGGTCTCACCCATAAAACTGAGCATCTTTGGACCAAGAAGGGAGAGGGTCTCCAACAGTTCAAGGCACACTGTACATGCAGCATTGCTGTCAGCAGGGACTTGACAAGCTGCAGACCTGGCTGGGCCATCACACCTTACCTGAGGCCTTCGTACCCCTCATCCCATAGACGTAAATGTCTTTGATGAAGGCCTGGAGCTCCACATCCTCACACACCACCTCATCGCTCTCATAGTAGATGTGAATGACATCTTCTGCAAAACTGCAGACACAGGAACAAATGAACAACGCAAAACGAAAATGAGAAAGCAAGCCTGCCACTCCCTGAAGACCTACTGACCTTGCAGAGGAGGCAGATGCCGCACGGGGAAAGAGAGAAGGGCAAGAGCAGGTCTCAACACCCTCCTACCTCCTTCTCACAAGCAGTGGGAATGCACAGAGGCAACTGTGATTCACTTCTGACTGCAGCATCACTTCCCCCCACAGCAAAAAGATGCTGGACCACACAGCATCCCCTGAACAGTCTTGGGAGAAGAGGTCTAGACCCTTTTCCTACACCCACTGCATACAGCAGATACCTCCACCATGTTCAGTTCCTCTTCTCAAAATCCCTCCTTCTATACAAACTTCTCAGGCTGATTCACCTCAGAAAGAAAGGCTCTTAAAACAGTAAGATAACAGAAGTAGTTGTCGTGGTTTAGTCCCAGCCAGCAACTCAGTACCAC